CCTTCTGTTGAGCAGGGAGCCCAATGCGGGGCTGCATCCCAGGACGCTGGGATCATGACCTGAGCCGAAGGCAGACACTTAACTGACTGAGCCACCCAGGTGCCCCAAAAGTTATCTTAACAAGGTCTGTTTGTATGGGTTTTTTTGGTTTTTTTTTTTTCTTTGGTTTTGACTCCTCATCTCTGGTGATAACAATGTTTCCTCCTAGTGTATTTTTGTTACACTTTTGTCACATTTGCTCTATCACTCATCCTTTTTCCCTCCCACTCTCCATCAATTTATATTTTTCTGAAACATTTAAGAGCTTCATACTTCATGTCTCATATTTGTTTGTATTTTCTGAGAACAAGGATATTATCTTACACAACCAGAGGACAATTTCTAATGTCAGAGAATTTAACATTAGGTCAATAGATTCATTCGGATCATATTGCCTTCATCATATAAAGTCCATTATATGTAGTATGGTCCGTCCTAGCAATGGGCCAATACCAGATTTGATCTAGTTAGGCATAAGTATGACTTTTTTTTACTGTTTTTATTTGGAAATTAAGTATGTTTTAAGGAGATGTATGTGGGTGCCAAGTTGACAAGAGGTAGAATATGATGGCTAGTTTTATGTGTAAACTTAGCTAGGCTATACTAGCCAGTTATTGGATCAAACTCTAATTTAGTGTTGCTGCGAAGACATTTTATAGATATGCTCAACATCTACAACTGATTGGCTTTAAGCAAAGGATTTTATTTTGGTAATGTGGGTGGGCCTTATCCAATCAGTGAAAAGATCTTAAAGGTTTAAGTAAGAGTTCCCAGAGGAAGAAATTCAGTGTCAAGACTGCAGCATTAGCTTTGTCTGGAGACTTTCCAGCCCACTAGCCTACCCTCTACCCTATGGATAGAGTAAAACTTGCCATGCCCCACAATCATATAAGTGAATTTCTTGAAATAAATCTCATATACATATTGTACCTACATATGTATATGCAATACACATATATACACCATATAGTTATAAAAGATGTATACATGTAAATATTTATAAAACATATATCTTACTAGTTCTCTGCAGAACTCTTGATATAGTCTTCATTCCTTGACCTAATTAATAACTTGTCACTATGACTCGCTCTCATTTTAGGATTATTAACTCAAGGGCATTTCTATACTCCGTGATTCCAGTTCTCAATCTGTATGCATCCTCAAATCATCAAAGATGCATTTGATTCTCTCAGCTCCACAGTTATGAAAAAAAAATCACCAATGGTGACTTCTAAGATTGCTTTATGTACCTCTGGGTGGACATTAGAACCGTAATGTGAGTTTGTTGGTTTCTTGACATCAACCAGTTAACAAAGCCAAGTTGGTCCAGGATTCATGCTCCATCCATTCTCTTCTCCAGTCTACACTCATTCCTCTGATAGTCTTACCTAGTATCATGATTTGGAATATAGGTGAAGGGTCCACACAAAATGAACAAACCTTTTTTAAAATTTTAAAGAGAGAGTTTTATTTAAGCTCAAGTTAGGACAGCTGACCAGTATACACTCACAAAGAAGAGAGTGCTCTGGGAAAGGAACATTTGGTACAGTGTTATATTTTTGTTTTTACATAGAGTTACAAATCATCATGACCAGGGGCATTCCAGAAAGTTACAGACTTTGTCTTATGTCTTTAGTATGTGCAAAACCGTATGACTTTAAGGGGAACTAAGGAGGGTCCCCCCCCCCCCCGCTTATCTTTATGTTTAGAATGTTCCTTTTCGGTTATTTTTTCCAACAAAGCAGATGTGCAGTGTGTGCTTGGGGCAGAAAGAGAGCCCATGCTTTGATGTTTTGCCAAGTCATTTTGACTTTGGTAAATGCTAAAGTATAGCTTCCCTGAGAGCCCAAAAAGCAGGGCCCACAAACACGGAAAATTGAAAATTTCCTTTATTTTATCAAGGCTGAACTCTCTTCCAATGTTCAGTCATTGGTTGAAATGCCTACCTAACACATGCTTGTGGTCTCATAGACATTTCAAATTGACAGTGTTCAAAACTGGAGTCCTGAGTTTCCCTCCCCACTTCACAGAATGGCAAATCCATTTTTTGGTAATCTGGGCCAATTACATGACTCAGAAATTCATTCATCTTATAGAAGGCCCAAGAGAGTGTGCAATTTGTGAAAGCGGACTTCCGGTGTCGATTTTTAAACTACTTTTTTGTCTGCTGCCAGACAAGAGGAACGGGGGAGGTGGTACCAAAAAGAGGAAGTCAACAGGCCAGCCTCGAGTCAAGGGCGAGTTCTGTGCCTTTGCATATGCCGCCACCCTGACGAATGTCCCTGCCTCCCGAGCCTCAGTTTTGCGGAACGAAGGCTCTCGCTCCTGTCCCTTGGTCCTCTCGAATCGCAGAAAAGCGGATCGGTTGCTCAGTCGCTTGTGCTCCCTCCTCTAGGAGGAAGACCCCGGCTAGGACCCGCCTCGCGCGGTTGGACACAGGAGGGAAACCACAGTACCCAGAAGGCACCGGAGGCGGCGCTGGCCACCGACAGCCCCGGAAAGGGGCGTTGCCTGAGGCTCACCTACGTGGGCGGGACTTCCGGGTGTCTCACTGCCGCCGCCATTAGCCTCTGCCGTTCGCCCTGGGACGGCGTTGACTTGCTGAGGGCTGGGCCAGGGCCGCACCTTGGCCCTTTCGTGGGGAACGAGCCGGAAGGAGGAAAGAACTCACCTTCGCGTTTTGTAGGGGCCGTGACCCCCTGTAGCGGGTGTGCCCCGCCCCCCGGCCGCCCGCTGGGCCGCGGCCTCTGCAGCCGCCCTCATCCCCGCCGTCGCCAAGGGCGGCGCCCCGAGTCGTGGTGCCTTTTACTCGGGGGGCGCTGCGGCCGGCCTGCCGCTGTCCGCCGAGGTCGTCAGGGCGCGCAGAGCAGAGGTGTGCTCGCCGCTCCCAGCCTTGCTCGCCCGCAGGGCCCCGTGATGGCGGCGCCGCCGACCGGCCAGGCCCAGGTCAGTGGACGTTGGTTTCGGGGTTGCTGCTGCTCTGCGGGGAGCACACGGGCCCTGCGGGGCCGGGAGCCCCGACGTCCGCTGGACGTGTCTCTGCGGTTGTGTGTTTCGGCGTGCGGGCCTGGCGTGCCGCCTGATTGATCCCCAGTCCCGTAAGGTGTTTGGCCTCTGACTTTGACTAAGTTGTGGACAGAATGAATGACGCCTCCGCCGGGGACTCCCGTCATTCTTACGATAAACTCCACGCCCCCGCCTGCCGTGGGTTGGTTCACGCCGCCCCACCTGTCCCCTTCCAACAGGTGACCTTGGGCACCGGGCGGAGGCGGGAGAGCTTTTCAGACAGAGGTGCATGGACAAAAGCAAAGTACGTTGGGTGTTTAGGGAGGCCCACGAGGGCCTGTGAGGTTGCTGTGGTTGCTCCCGGCTGCTGAGCGCCTTTGGAGGGCGAGGTCCTGCGGGCTTTTGCAGGATGCACCACCAGCCCTCAGCCAGCACACTTGGTGGCCAACGCCTGTGTTATCTGTAGCTATTTGTGCTTCCTGGTCCTGAGGTATCCTGGCCTCAGGGATAAAGGTTCTCAGAGCTCAGGAAGGAAAAGGAGGCTTATGGTTCATTGTGGCAGCTCCCCCTAGTCTGGGAGACCCAGGGAAGTCCCAGGGGGCATGGGGAACAAATCCGGGCCCTGCCATTTACCCAAGGAGGTGCCGCCCCATCAGGGTGCCTTTCCTGTGTGGTGAGTGATGAGGGCACTGCTCCTCGGTCCATGTTCACAGAAATATTTTGGGGGTGGATGGAAATTACTTAACAGCAAAAACTGGGGTAAATGCTTCATAGCCTCCTTACTTGTAATCACTCTGATTATGGAGGAATATCCAGTTTACTCTTTTCAACACTGTGTTAGAGTAATCTGTCTTAAAAATCTCGCTTCTGGTTTGTAAAATGCAAGACTTTGCATAAATTGGTGGAGCTCCCTTAGCCTTTCCCTGTGCCATGAAGGTGATGAGATGTCATGGGCTGTGGGAGAAACAATGAAAATCCCAAAGCACACTGAGCATTGAGTAATTTCTGTTTAAATCGCACAACTGTTATTGGTGAAGTGGGAACTATTATTGTATTGATCCAGAAACCGAGGCTCAGAGAAATGAAGTGATGTCTTCAAGGTAACACAGCTGGCAAGTGTCGGGTTTCAAGAGTTTGGATGCAAGCCACAGGAGACTGACTTAAGAACTGGGGACTTATAGTCCCTTTAACCAGGATGTGAAGCCCTCAGCATGGGGGCAGGCAGCTAGCAGGACCAGTGAGGCTCAGGTACTGCTGTTGTTACTGATACTGTTATTACCATATTCACTCATTCCTCTGACGTCCTAGAGCCCTTGCTGTCTGCATCTCCCAGTCCTCGCGTCATTTCCATTGTCTTGTGTGACCTTCCAGTGGCTCCCACGGAGGAAGCTTCTCCCTTAGACTGCCGTAGTACATCCAAAGCATTGCCCACCTGCCCCTTGAGCCCAGCGCAGAGCTTGGCCCTCAGGAGGTACTTGGTGATTTGAACCTTGATCACTCTGCATCTTTACCAGGGATGTAGGGATGAGCTCTGATCACATCCAACAGCCCCAAGGCCAACGCTACTACCTCTGTTTGACTTTCCAGATATCTGTGACCTTCGATGATGTGGCCGTGACTTTTACCCAGGAGGAGTGGGGGCAGCTGGACCCGGCCCAGAGGACCCTGTACCAGGAGGTGATGCTGGAAAACTGTGGCCTTCTGGTGTCTCTCGGTGAGTCCTCCCCACTCCACCATGGGGGGACCTGCCACCTTCTTGTCAGAGCACCCTGTGGCTCCAGGCCTGGCTGGTCAAGAAGGCCTCTGGGTCCCCACCCCCACCCGCCTGCAGCTTCACTCATTTTCTAGACTCATCTCTTTGGGCCTGCTCTCCTGTGTCTGTCTGGGCAAGAAACAGTTCCTCTTTGGCTCCTAGAAAGTAATGGAAGGAAAGGGGGGTGTTCTGCAGACCCAGAGGGAGGGTTTCCAGCTGGGTCCTGTGAGGGACTGACAGAGGAACAGGGAACCACCACGATTATACCCTGGCTTCTGGTCTCTTGTCCTGGCTTCTCTGTCTGGCTCTCTCTGGTCATGTCACTGTATGCAGAAAGGTTTTTCCTCTGCCTCATCAAGTTGTGATAGGACGGGCCACCTGGTCCCTGCTCTTTCTGGCCGCCAGATTCCTGGTCTCCGCGTCTTTGCGTGTTTATGTTGTTCCTCTTTCTCTGTCTCCTCCTGGGCTGTGTGGGGTGTCCTTGGGGCAGGAATGGCCACCCGAGCCAATACTTCTCTGGACCTCTCACCCAGTGCCCAGCACAGACCGGCCTCCTTCCGAGGTTCTTATTTCCCATTCCAGAGAGGGAGCTGACTGCGTGAGCCTGATTGGCTCAAGTGTCCTTAGCAGGGCTGTGAGTGATGGGATGTTCTCTTAAGAAGAGAGTGAGTCAGGCAGGGCCCCGGGAGACATTTGCCTTCAGTGCCAACAGGTATTGTCCCAAACAACATGATCTCGGTTGTGGGGCTCCTTTGTGTCTGTGTGCCTTCGAGATTATCACTTGTTTCAAGGGCCAACATCCTCTGCCAGTCCAAGAGAGAGGTTAGAGTAATACTTCTCAGCAGTTGGGATTTGTACCCCCAGGAGACATTTGTCAATGTTTGCAGCCACTTTGGGTTGTCTGGCCTTGAGTGTAGGTGGTACTGGCATCTAGCGGTTAGAGTCCAAAGATGCCGTAAACCTCCTTCGGTGGACAAGACCGCCCTCCTCAATGAAGGATTATCCCGCCTGCAGCATCCAGAGTGCCATGGTTGAGAAACACCAGCTTAGATGTTTCTCTGCTTGAGGAGAATGACCACAGCGCCATTCAACTTGAGGGAAAGGAGGGCTATAAATCCAGAGCTTAGGATGAGACATGCCAGTTCTTAGAGAACTGGAATTATGTCTGTCAGTGAGAAGAGAAAAAGCAAAATTAGAAAAGTTGGCTAGATTAAAGATCTCATAACAAAATGTTTCAGAATAAAAAGTCTACTCTCTTTTCCTGCTGACCTCATCCGTCACCTTCAGTGCTTTCCCTGAGCTCACTGTGCTCTGGCTGTGCTGGGCATCTAGTGATTTCCCCACGCCCAGCCGTGCCTCGGGCCTCTGCTTGCTGTTGTGTCTGCCTGGGGAGTGTTCTTGGGCATTTCAGCCTCTCTCGCGGTCACCGCTTCTGTGCATAATCACCGTCTCGCCAGCTGTGTCCTGACCAGCAGATCTCATGGAGGCCCCTCCCCGACCCCCTCGCTTCGACGCATCATCCTGGTTACAACTCTCTGTGCCAGTGGTTCTCATCCAGGGATGGTGTCGTCCCCCGGAGACACTGGCCAGTGTCTGGAGATATTTTTGGTTGTCACAGGTGGGATGGAGGTGGGACAGGCACCTAGTGGGTGGAGACCTGGAGTGCTGCCAGCACGTCCTTACCATGCACAGGACAGTTTCCTGCCTGTCTTCCCAACAAAGAATTACCTTGACCTAAATAGTCATGCGCATAAACCCAAGTAATTATGCCAGAGTGAGAAACCTTGTTTCAGAGAGTGTAGGAATACTTCATCAACTGGCATTGAGAGACAACCTGACATAATCGTTTCCTGCCTTCTGATTGTTTTTGATGGCAAGTCTGGATTTAGTGCTGAATCTTAATACACTTTCTTCGTTTCCCCCACCCTCCGATTGTTGGTTACTTTTCCCTTTAAAACGGAGTAGCCTTGAGTTTATAGCCCTGAGTAGGGAGCATGAGGTCACTGGGACTTAACATCATTTTGATTTCATTGTTGAGTTTTCGTGGTGACCTGCCACCAAAGGAAGTGACTCTAGGTTTCCCATTTACCAGAGTGATGCAAGATTCTTTCTTTGACGAAAATAAGAAAAATTAGACATGAGTCATGTTAAAAAAGCAGTTCATAATCATCAGCACAGATGCCCTGAGCACTGACCAAGCAAGACCGTTCGGGCCTATTCATGCTCTACTCATTTAAATTCCCACAGCATTCCCCCTCTATTAATTTATACTTGAAAGATTTTAATTTACAGAGGTGACTTAGTGACAGACGACACAGGGAGGTAATGCTATTGTATATTTTACGTATCTATGTGTATTTTATGTATATATACATGTGCACACACCTGTACACATGTGCCTGTGTGTGTTGTAGTTGTGTGTAAAAGAAAAACTTTCCTCTACTCAGCAACTTCTGATACCAAATTTTGTTTTCACACCATGCAGTTCTGACACTGACTACGTGGAGTTAGCACAGATCCCACAGGTTAAGGGCTCAGTCTCCTGGGCAGCCCCTCGCCCTCCCACCCATCCACTTCAGATGCTAGTCCCAAGTCCAGGTTGTCACCTGTCCTGATCAGCTGGTTGTAAATCAGAGATAGGACCCCTTCCTCAGAGTTGACCATTTGCTAGGGTGGCTCACAGAACTTAGGAAAGCACCTTACTTAATATTAACTGTTTTAAATTCAGAAACCACTAAATGGAAGAGATGCAAACAAGGTACATAGGACAGGACACTGAGCTTCCATGCCCTCTAGGCTTGCCACCCTTCTAGCACCACATTGGGTTAACCAACCTGGAAACTCACCGAATGACTTTAGTTAGGGTTTTTTGTGAAAGCTTCATTACATAGGCATAATTGATGAAATCACTGGCCGTTGGTGATTGAACTCAATCTCCAGCCCTTCTTGCCTCCACAGAGGTGAAGGGATGGAACAGAATGTTCCAGTGTTATAATCACATGATTCGTTACCCTTACCTTCCTCCTTAGAAGTTTTTTAAAAAAGTCACCTCAGGAACATAATAGAATTCTTAATAGAAAGCAAAAAAGGTCCTGTGTCTAATTTCTGTCTTAAGAGAGGCAGTCTATGGACATTTGCTGGGGTGAAGGTTTTAGCATCAGGGGGTGGAGTCGTCTTCATCGTTGAGGTGTCTGGGACGATGTTGTCTGGGTGTGTGACTGGGGTATCCTTTGCGAGTGAGTGCCCACTCACGTTGATGGGGTTTTTGCCATGTTTGGTTGAAACAGTGGTGTTAGTGTGGGGTGTAAGTAGACCAAGAGGGCTTTTATTAAGGCAAGATAGAGACCCATTTAGGGGTTTATTTGTCACACTGGAATTTAAAAGGAGTTGTTTCAAGTGACCATTTATGTCTTTTACTTAAACCAGTTACTTGGGGCATGTTTGGGCTATGAAAGCTCTGTTGAATGTCTCTTCCCAGAGTGTACGTAGCATTGCGTAATTTGAGAAGTGAAATGTGTGTCTATTACCAGTATTGTCTGCAACTCTGAAGGGAATAAGGAATGTCCTGGCAGTGCCTTGTGTTGTGGCTGTATGTGCAGAGATGTATGATTTTGACTTCTATTTGGAGTGTCTGTGAGACAAGAGATTCTTAGGAGTTCTTTACCCCAAAGCAGACCATTTTTAGGCAATGGCCCTGCACTTTATAATGAATGTGGAGATGGGGCCATTTGTTGATCAGGGCATTTGGCACTAAGATACCCCCCCCCCGAAGTTTGGTCAAGTAATGTTTTTTAGGTCTCATTTTTTATTTAGAACATTCTGGCTAAGGGATAGAAAGCAGCAACATTCCACTGAACTCCATCACGTATGGTGGATAGCAGTGTCTTTCTAATAGTCCACAAACTCCCGTAACTGTTCACTCTGTTAATCTCAAGGGACTTTCCAGGTAGCCGGAGGGTCTGGGGAGGGCTGACCTCCTCCAGCACTGTAGCGTCTGGCAAGGACTGAGGACAGGAGAAGCTACCACCTCCTACAAGCGGAGCTATGCCAGAGGGCCCAGATGGGGTTCCATTCTGTCTTACAGAGTCCTGAGGAGCTGTGCTGAGCTTGTGCTGTTAACAGTATTTTGAATAGATCTTAGAGTCTTTGTTGGAGGAAATCCTTTGTTGGGCTGATTGGTAACTAACAGCAGTAGTGAGATTAAATAAAATTTATAAATGAGGAATGTAGTCACCAGCCCCCAAATAATACTAAGTAGTAGTATTAGCTGAAACTGTCCCCACAATGGGACTAAAAGACACTGGATTGATGTATCCATATGAATGTGTCGAGTGAATTTCCTCGGACGAGGCTGTCATCAGTGTACCATCACACCTGTGCTACTAGAGAAAGGTGGGTGCACTTAAGCTCTTGTGTGCAGAGATTGCAGCGGCAGAGCTGTGGAGCCAGCCTCACAGGCAGCCTGGGAAAGGAGAAGAGTTTACCTTCAGAGTAAAGGCAGGCTGGCAGAGAAGCCGTTGAAACAGGCCCTGAACAGAACACGGTCAGCCAGATCTGTAAGCCCAAGGTCATCACCAGGTTGTTGATTGGATAACGTTATTAATTTATTTATATTGGGTATTGGGTGTGTGGATTGTGTGGATCAGCTCTGGCTGCCAGACTGTGTGGCTTAAACAACAGCTTTATTTTCATGGCATTCTGGAGGCTGGAAGTCCCAGACCTGAGGTGCCAGCAGACGGGTTTCTGATGATGAGCTCTTCCTGGCTGCTGCCTTCGTGCTGTGTCCTCACGTGGCCCTGCCTCTGGCTTGGAAAGGCCCCTTCATCCTCCTCTTTGAGGACACCAGTCCTCCCAGATTGGGGCCACATCCCCGTGACCTCATTTAACCTTAATTACCTCCTTACAGGCCCTGTCTTCAGATGTGATCACATTGGGAATTTGGGCTAAGTAATGACATTTAGGGGCAGACATACTCGGTCCTTAGCAGGAACCCTAATGGATGGACCACCGCATTAAGATTGTAGTAACCCACCAGGAGGAGCCCTTTATTTTTCCCAGGGTTAAGAACAGATACAACTGGGCTGTCAAATGGAGAAGCAGTAGGACAGTCATTCCTTTATTGATTAGCTGTTATGTGAAGTTTTACTCCCTGGAGGCCCTTTTCCAGCTACCATTGGGCCATATTCACTATCTTAACTGGTATTTGTGGGTCTCATTTTACCAAGTCAGTTTGTGAGCATCCATGCCCAAAATGGGATATTTTAGGACAATGGATACTATGAGTAGGGGAAATATAGGCAAGTCTACAGTTAAAGTGAGACATACGTATTTTTCCTCTGTATTCGCTACTTTTTAAGTTTGGGCAGAGTAATATTTAAATTTAGTGGGATCTCCAGGTATCACTATGATTTGAGTCCTAGTATTAATTAAATGTATGAAGTTTTGTCATTTGGTGCATTTTAGCAAATTCTAAAGTTAACTCAGAACCTATATTGTAGAGTCAGAAAAACCGATCAGTGCCGTGTTATGTTTTGGTGATAAATTTTTGGAGTATAAATTTTGTTATGCTGTACATAATTATTATATATAACTTATATAAGTTTTTAGTATATAAATTTTGCATTTCCAATTGGGTCAAATTATAGACTGTGATTTAGTTATATACTGTGTCTTATTTAGTTATCTTTTATTTTCTCCTTCTGTATCTAGGGGTTGTTACTATTTTAAATCAATAAATAGTTTAGAATGAGTTATGTTTTCTAGACCTGGTATTTGCTTGGTACATAAGTTTTAAAGCGCACCCCCCTCCTTTTTCTCTTGGGCTTTCAGCTTCCTAAAGCCCCATATAGCTGAAGGGGAGTCTTCCTCCCCTTTCCACTGCCCCATTACTGGGCCCTGTGCTGAGCGTGTAGCAGATATGAGCAAGATTTGCTTAGTGACAACTGATAATCTTGGGGTGTTGTTCAGGATCTGCCAGAGCAGCCTTCTGTGGGTCCTGGTGCCTTTGCCTTTGATTTCTCTATAGAGTCCTGTGTCTTTTTACCCTGCATCTGTGTTTGGCTACATATGACAGAGCAGTTCAGTCTTCACCCTGAAGGAAATTTATTATCTCACATAATAAGAAGCTCAGAGGTGGGACTGGCTCCCAGGTGGGTGGGTGATAACCCAGCTGTGTATTTCTTTACTTCCTCTCTGTGGTCTAGGTCTTTTAGGCAGGTTCCCTCACAAAAGTCCCGGGATGCCGCCAGACAACAGGAGCAGCAGATCCCCTCATTCAGCCATCCTGGAATAGAGCTTTCTAAAGTTGCGTACCTCTAACTATTGGTGATTGAGGAATGCCACTTGCAGGTTGGTAGAGACTGGTTTTTCAACCTTCCTTTGATGCCGGAATCATCTGGGGAGGTTTTAAAATCTACCAATATCCAGGCCTCACCTGCAGAGATTTCCTTTCCATTGGATGTGAACCCAACATGCCAGGAGGTGTTGATGCACGCATGGTTGAGACTCACTTACTTGGATTGATTAGGAAACACTTTCTGGAAGGAGGGGGTCATATTCTCTGGGATTCTGTGTGCTGGAAGCCAAAGAGAATAGGTGCTGTCTACACAGCCAGCACTACTGTCTAAAGTCTTTGGATCCCAGCAGTGGTGTTTGTGCCTATTTCCAGGTTACAGGTTAGTATTTTGTTAGTGTGGATGGGAGTAGCTTCATTCCGAGGTCATATCCACATCCTGAAGTCCCAGACTAGATTGAGACGTTTTCTCTTTTCACAGAAACCCTAGTGTCTTCTTTCTTTCTCTGTGAACAGGGTGTCCTGTTCCTAGACCTGAGCTGATCTACCAGCTGGAGCACGGGCAGGAGCTGTGGACGGTGAAGAGACACCTGTCTCAAAGCGCCTATCCAGGTAGGAGCCAAGATGTGGGCAGGTGGGAGACCCTGCAGGCTCGAGACCAGGAGGAGACCACTGGCCCTGGCGCCCTGGGGAAGCTTCTTGTTCTGGCCTCTCTGGGGGTTTGGAAGCCACGGAGCCCTTTGACCTGAAGTCAGCATGCCTGGCAAGGGACCCAGAATGTTGCTCACTCCTTCCACCTCCCAAGTTTCAGCGGACGGTCCTGCCACCCAAGCAGGTTAGAGACTGGGTACAGCCTCAGAGAATCCCTCACAGCTCCACCTCCCTCAGTCCCCACATCCGGCCATGCCCCAGTCCTGTGCGTGTCACACCTTGTACATCTCCTGCATCCCATCACTTGCACCACCTTCCTCAGACCCGTCCCCAAGCTCAGTGCACGCTGCTACTAGCCTCCTAACCAGCCTCTGTATCTGCTGGTGCCTCTAGTCAGCTCTGTGTCCTGCATGAGCTACTCCAGGAGCTCAGACTTTGTTCCAGGTGGTTACCACTTCCCCAGCCGTGGATGTCTCAGCATATGACCCCTGAGGTGTCAGCGGGTCTTTGCGTTGAAAGTAAAGTCCGCCTCCTCCATTGCTTGATCCTCGACCCTACCGCACTTGCTCAGGCTCCGGTGTCTGCAGCTTCCCCTTCCATCTTGAGGGAGAGGTCTTGCCCCTGGCCCTGGCCAGTTCCTGAACCAGAGTCTAGAGCACACCTTTTCAGGAAAATGTTTTCTTCATTCATACTCTGTTGTGTAATATAACGTCATCCTTTCTCTACTCAACATAAAAATAGGCTCAAATTCCTTCAGCTGAAGAAAATCAATAAATTCCTGTCTCACATCATATTCATCCACTCTGTGTACGTTCAGTTACATGTTTTGACTCTCATACGTGGTGCTGCCAGGAGCAGTCCTGTATCAGTCATCTTGCACAGGATTACAGTGTCTCTGGTGTTTCTTGGAGTGAAATTGTTGGTTTATAGGTTATGCAAGCTTCCAAGTTTACTGGATAATTGCCATTGTGTTCTAAAGGACATGTACCAATTTACACTTTCCCCGGGAAAGCGTGGAGGTTCCTTTGACCCATATTTTTGCCCAATACTTGATACTCTAAGGCTCCTCAATCGTTGACAATCAAATGAACACAAAACTGTATCTTATGTGGTCTTTATTTGCTTTTCCTTCATTGCTGAGGAGCTTTAGCACCTGATCATACGATTATTGGTCAGTCTGTATTTTCTCTTTTGAAATGTCATTTCATGATAAATACCTATTTTTCTATTAATTTGTTTGCTTTTGATTTGTAGGGATTCTTTGTACATTCCTTACACTTACCTTTCGTCGGTTATAGGTGCTGCAGATATAACTTTCTACTTTTCAGTATTGTTTTTCACTTATTTAAAGTATATTTTATTGAAGAGAGGTTCTTATTTTAGTGTAATTTTTTATATAATTAATGATTTTGTCTTGTATAAAAATCTTTATCCCCAACATCAAAAAGATATTTTTGTTTATTTTATCCTAAAAATGTATAAACTTGGTATTTGACATTTAACTCTCCTTGATCTGAGGTAGGATTTGAAGATAGTGTGAGATAGGAATACAGTTTTTTTGTTTTTGTGTGTGTGTGTGTGTTTGTCTTTAAATCTTTTTGTTATGTTAATCACCATACATTACATCATTAGTTTTTCATGTAGTGTTCCATGATTCATTGTTTGTGCATAACACCCAGTGCTCCATGCAGAACGTGCCCTCTTTAATACCCATCACCAGGCTAACCCATCCCCCCACCCCCCCTCCCCTCTAGAACCCTCAGTTTGTTTCTCAGAGTCCATCGTCTCTCATGGTTCGTCTCCCTATTCGATTTCCCCCCCTTCAAGGAATAGTTTTTACATTCCCGGGGTGACACCAATTTTTCTAGCTCCATGTACTGTTTTCTCCCCTTTTACCACTGAGCTGTTCTGCCTCCTCTGCCATCTACCAGAGCTCCGTGTGTTTGTGGGTGTGTGTTTCCTGAGCTCTCTATTCTTTTTCTGTTGCCTGTTTGTCTTCTCTCTATGCCAGTACCACAGTGTCTGAGAGTCTGTAATTCCATCACAGTACTATTACCTGAGACGGTAGGTATCCTCCTTATTCTTTCCTGTTTGGTCTTCCCTACAAGTCCTACCATCAGACTAGGAAGTTCCTTGATGACCCCGTTGCCATTTTATAGGGAATTGTACTGAATTTTTTTTTATTCACTTGGGTAGAATTGTCAGTTTTATATTATTAAGTCCCCCCTCCCCCGGGTTTTGTTGAGTAATGATGGACATACAGGCTTCCCCACTATGCAAAATTAGAGCGTTCCTGGGAAACTTTTCATTAGCCAAAATGGCATAAAGTGTAGAAGAAATTACCACTGATTTATATGGAAAATTTTTTGACCATTTATGTCTTCAATTACAATATTATCATTTTCTCATCTAGATCATGTGTATCTTGCGAGTCTTTTTACCAGACTGCTCCTTGGGCAAAGCAGACTCAGTATGTCCAGCCCAATCCTGCTCACCTCCTGCCTTATGAGCCTTGTCCTGGGAGGCCTCACTGTCACCCCTGTCAGAACCTTGGGAATCCTGTTTCCTTCTCCTACCTTTCCCTGGATCCTCATCAGTACCATCTTCATGCTCTTGGTCCCTTTGTACATTCTGTCTCCTAAGGCTACTGTGCCCTTTGTACTTTTTCTGTGGTAATTCCTATGATGCCAGTAGGACTCATATCATGGGCACCTCTTACTAGAAAACTCCCTTGGATCTCTTTCTGCACACAGTTAGCCATGCAAACTCAAGGCTAAGAACACAGAACTCCTAAGACTGCCAAGCCTGCCCAAGTCATCTGAAACCACTGGAAGTTCAGAGATTTCCCAGAACTACCTTCAGGTTCAATGAGTTGATAGAAAGACTCAAAAGCTTCCTAAAAGCTATTATACTGTACTTTCATTCGTGTTTGTTACAAACAAAGGTGCAACTTAGAAGAGGGGCCAGAGGTGTTCCAAATACAAAACTCCCGTGTCTTCAGTGACTTGTTAGCTCCTGGCATCCTGTGTGACAATAGGTGCATGGATATTGCCAACCCAGGAAATTGGCCAGAGCCTCAGTATTTTTATTGAGCCTTCATTACATAAGCATGGTTGATTTGAGTCATTACCAGTGGGACTCAGGCTCTAGCCCTTTTTTCCTTTCCAGAGGTCCAGCTGATACCTCGTGGCTCAAAGCCTCAGCTTCCTAATTATATGGTTGGTTTTTCTGATGTGGCCAGACCTTACCCTGAGTCATCTCTTTAGTATAAACTAGGGGCCCACAATGAGTTATGTGTTGTCATAAAGTATCAGGTGCATTCCTAGTCACCCACTATGAATGACAAAGACAGGTCTGTCGCTCTGGAACTAAACAGCATTGAGAGGTTACTTCCTTGGAGCTGGGACAAAGACCAAACTTCTTTTAGGGGAAAGTTAATTTTGCATTACACGCTTTCTGTCTTCTATCAGGGCTCCATTAGGTGCCCTTTCCTAGTGTTGTTACAGCAATGTCCTCACTTAGAGGAAACCAGACATACAGCATTCTTACTAGTATGTCCAGCTGCATCCAGTATGGAATTGTAGTGGTGTCTCCATTCCAGACCTCTGTCCCCTCACCTAGCTTCTTCTGGGTCTCCCTTTCAAGGTGTCAACAGTCCAAGGCCCAGGGAAAAAAAAGAAATTGCAGTCCTGAGATTCAGAGGTAATAAAACATCACAGACACAGACTCTTGTTTTCATCTTCATTTTTTTCACTGAAATGCTGATTTTGTTTTTTCTGTGTTGTCATTACTAACAGGTCTTTTTGTGTGTTGGGTTTCTTTCAGGTGACAAGGGAAAACGCAAGACTACAGAACTTTCCCCTTGTGCATCAGCCCTGTCTGAGGGGGCCTTGTTCCAGGAACTAAGACAGGGAGACCCAGGGAATTTGCAGCTGGGCCAAACCAAGGATCAGAGTGGGCCATTAGAAATGCAGGAAGGACACTTGAGATCAGGGTTGGAACCCCAGAGGGAGAAGCTCCCTGAGAAAACAAGCCCTGAACCTGATGGTTTAGGGACAGCTGATGGTATATGTTCGCAAATTGCACAGGAGCTGATCCACTCAGGAGGTGCTGTCCGTGACCATGACTCGTGTGGATCAGGTAAAGATCCCATGATTCAGGAGGAGGAAAATACCTTTAAGTGCAACGAATGCGGGAAAACTTTTAACAAGAAGCACCTTCTTGCTGGACATGAAAAGATTCACTCTGGAGTGAAGCCCTATGAATGCACAGAGTGTGGGAAAACCTTTATTAAGAGCACACACCTCCTCCAGCACCACATGATCCACACGGGGGAGAGGCCCTACGAGTGCATGGAGTGTGGGAAGGCCTTCAACCGCAAGTCATACCTTACACAGCACCAGCGGATTCACAGTGGAGAGAAGCCTTATAAGTGCAACGAGTGTGGGAAGGCCTTCACCCACCGCTCCAATTTCGTCTTGCATAAGAGGAGGCACACTGGAGAGAAATCCTTTGTGTGCAAAGAATGTGGGCAAGTCTTTCGACACAGGCCAGGATTCCTTCGACATCACATCATCCACAGTGGTGAGAATCCTTATGAATGCTTCGAGTGTGGCAAGGTCTTCAAACACAAGTCATACCTCGTGTGGCACCAGCAGACTCACACTGGGGAGAAGCCCTATGAGTGCAGTGAGTGTGGGAAAGCCTTCTGTGAGAGTGCAGCCCTCATTCACCACTACGTCATCCACACTGGGGAGAAGCCCTTTGAGTGCCTAGAGTGTGGAAAGGCCTTCAACCACAGGTCATACCTCAAGAGGCATCAGAGGATTCACACTGGGGAGAAGCCTTTTGTGTGCACTGAATGTGGAAGGGCCTTCACCCACTGCTCTACTTTTATCTTGCATAAAAGGGCCCACACTGGAGAAAAACCTTTTGAGTGCAAAGAATGTGGGAAAGCCTTTAGCACTAGGAAAGACCTCATTCGACACTTCAGCATCCACACTGGGGAGAAGCCCTTTGAGTGCTCAGAGTGTGGGAAGGCCTTCAACCGCCGGTCTGGGCTCACGAGGCACCAGCGGATTCACAGTGGAGAGAAGCCCTATGAATGCATGGAGTGTGGGAAATCCTTTTGCTGGAGCACAAACCTCATTCGACATGCTATTATCCACACTGGAGAGAAGCCCTATAAGTGTAGTGAGTGTGGAAAAGCCTTCAGTCGCAGCTCATCCCTCACTCAGCATCAGAGGATTCATACCGGGAGAAACCCTGTCAGTGTAACAGAAGTGGGAAGACCCTTCACAAGTGGGCAGTCCTCAGTCACCCTCCGAGAACTCCTTTTGGGGAAAGACTTCTTGAATGTAACCACTGAGGAAAACCTTTTGCCAGATAAAACATCTACCATGGCATCTGATCGGACACACCAAAGAGAAACCCCCCAAGTATCTACACTGTGAGAAAATCTTCCATCCCAGACCATCAGTAGTCACGTAGAGACGCATTTTAGAGATTGACTGAGCCCAGAGCCTTATTCTGCATCTGAGAATTCATCCATGAGGGAGAGAGCAGTGTTTATTGTGCACGAAGTAAAACCTTCACCTACCTGTTTCTCCCTAGTTTACACTGCAGTGTTATCTCAGGAATTTTTATAAAAAGAAGGTGGAGATGTAGAAGAACAAATGAAATGAAAAACTTTTGAGACTTCTCTGTCCAGCTTACAGCACTTTGTCATGGATTCCTTAGTTTACTTGGGGCCAGGGAGATGTTTCAGAGGCAGTGGACCTTGACCCTGTATGTGTCATGTATATACATTCATTGCTGTCCAATGTCAGGAGGGTTAGACAGTTGAGGACAAGTTATTAAAGTGATAAATATACACATAAGAACACATTTTATTGTACCAGTTAAGACTCTAAAGCTTACATTTTTAGAAAACTGTTACTTGGTTTTAAACACCAAACAGACTTTTTCAGACTTGTTCTTCATCCAGTCTATTTACTTAATTTCTGTAGCTATATGGTAGACCTCAAAATTGGGTAAAGTGATTCCTCTTTATTCTTACTTAAATCGATTTAGTTTTGCTAATTCCTTTGACATTTCATATGAATCTTAGGATGCAAAGAAATCTTGCTTGCGTTTTTATAGGAATTGATTGAAATCTGTAGATCTGTTTGTTGAAAAGCAGCATCATGAACACCGTACATGGTATGCTAAGTAATTCCTGATATTTCACTACTGTTTTATAATTTTCAACTTAACAGGTTCTGTACATTTTTGTTAAGAGTTGTATCTAGGGTTTTTTTGTTGGTTTTTTTTTTAACATAAATGGCATTGATATTTACAGTTTCATTTTTCCATATGATCTTTAGTAGTATGCAGAAAGATAATTGTTTTTGGAGTGATATTTTGGTGTCCTGCAACCATGGTGACATTTGTAGACATTTCTTTGGGTAGAATCCTCAGGCTTTTCTGTAAAGACATGTCTGCTGCATAGAGAGTCTTTTTCCTCCTTCCATCTGTATATCTGTTACTTTATCTCACTGCACTAGTTGGACTTCCAACATGATGTTGAATAGTAGTAAGAAAGGATGCCCTTGATTGATTCCTCATATTAGGAGGAAAATGTTCAGGTTTTCATCAAGTGTGATGTTAGTTGAAGGTTTTTTGTTTTGTTTTTTAAGTTTTCTTACCAAGTTTAGAAAATTTCCATCTATTCTTAATTTGCTGAGGTTTTTTTTGTTATGAATGAGTGTTAGAGTTTTTCAAATGCTTTGCCTCCATCAGTTGATGTGATCATCTGATTTTTCTTCTATAGCCTGTTGATATAATATATTACATTGACTAGTTTTGAATATTGAACCAGCCTTGCATCCTTGGAATAAATCCCACTTGGTTGCAGAGTATGAATTTTTTATATATATATAATATATATTAAAACATTCCATTTGACTGTATTTTGTTGAGGTTTTCCTCTAATTTCTTTTTTTTTTTTTTACCATTTTAACCATTTTAATTGTACAGTTCAGTGGCGATTTCCTCTAATTTCTTGAATTCAGAATAATTTTGATGTTGGAGATATTGGATAGTTTGAAGTTTGTCCTTTTCAAGGAATTGTTCCATTTCATCTAAATTTTCTAATTAGTTTATAGACTTATTTCCTTATTACTCTTTTAATGGGAGCAGGATCTGTACTTCTATCCCATTTGATTCCTGATTTTGGAAATATGTCCATTCTCTTTCTATCTTCGTCCATCTTCTTAGGCATTTATCAATTCTGATCATATTGGAGAATCAGCACTTTATTTCATTGATTTTTCTCTTGCTATTCATAATTTCACTAATTTACGTTCTCCTCTTTATATCTTCTACTTTGGTTGTATTTTGCTCTTTCTTTTTTCTTTTCTAATGTAAGCATTTAGTACTATAAAGTTTTCTCACAGCATTGTGACAGCTTCATCCCATAAGTTTTCATTACAGTTTATTCAGCTCTGATGTTTCTCAATTTCTTTATAGAGACTTTAATGGGTTCATGGATTATTATTTAGGTTTCTAGTGTTTGGAGTATTTTTGTTATCTTTTGTTACTGATTTCTAGTTTGGTCTGTTTAAATTTATTGAAGTGTTATGACCCAAGATACAGTCTATTTTATTGAATGTTCTAAAAGGCCTCCTGAAAAGAATGTTGTTCTGCTGTCATTGGGTGGAGTTTCTATAAATGTCTGCACAATCCTCTTGGTTGGTAGTAGTATTCAAATTTTCTATATCCTTACTGACTTTCTGTTTAGTATTTCTGTCAATTCCAGAGAGAGAGGTGATGAAGTCCTGATGTAGAACTGTCCTGAAGTATAACTGTCTGTTCATCTTTTAAATTCTGTCATTTTCTGGGGTGCCTTGGTGGCTCAGTTGTTTAAGCGTCTGCCTTCAGCTCAGGTCGTGATCCCAGGGTCATGGAATGGAGCCCCACATCAGGCTCCCTGCTCAGCGGGGAGCCTGCTTGTCCCTCTCCCTCTTCCCTGTGCCTGCCACTCTCTGTGTGCTCTCTTGCTCTCTCAAGTAAATAAATAAATAAAATCTTAAAAAAAATTAGGTTCTATCATTTTCTGCTTCAGGTATTTTAAAGCTCTGTTGTTTGGTGCATTCCCATTTAGTATTGGTATATTATCTTGGTGTGTTGACCCTTTCATTATGTGATGTCCCTTTTTGTCCCTGTTCATTTTCTCGCCTTTGAAGCATACTTTGAGTGATATTAATATAGTCCCTACTGCATTTTTTTTTAAGATTTTATTTATTTATTTGAGAGAGAACACAAGCCGGGTAAAGGACAGAGGGAGAAGCAGACTCCCTGCTGAACAGGGAGCCTGACGTGGGACTCGATCTTGGACTCTGAGATCATGACCTGAGCTGAAGGCAGATGCTTAATAACCGACTGAGCCACCCAGGCGCCCCCCCCCGCATGTTTTGATTAATGTTTGCATGGTTTATATTTTTCCATAATTTTATTTTCAACTTTATCTGTATCATTACATTTGAAGCAAGTTTCTTGAAACAGCATATAGTTGGGTCTTAACTTTTTTATCCATTCTTCTACTTATGTTTTAATTGGTAGATTTACATCACTTAGATTGAAAATAATTATTGGTATGTTAGGGCTTAAGTGTACCATTTTTAGTTTGTTTTTTGTGTTCCCTTTATATCGTTCGTCTTGTTTTCTGGTTTTTGTTATTTTGCTTTTCTGTTTTGTGTTTTTGTTTGTTTGTTTTTCCCTCCTGTGGGTTACTTCAGCATTTTTTAAATTCCTAGTATATCTATAACATTTTTGAGTGTTGTCTTAATTTCTGTGTCTAGGTATTATATATACATAAGTTATCACAGTCTAGTATTATCAGCATTTTAGCACTTTGATGTATAGAAACCTTAATTCCATGAGGTTCCTTTACATTTTCCGTTTTAAATATAATTCTAAGTATTTTCTCTTTATACACTGAGCACCAATTCGGATGTTATAATTTGTGCCTGGGCTGTGAAAACATTTTTTACAAAATTCACGAAAAGTATGCTGTTTACCTCTGTTAACCCATTGCATTGTTCTTTCTCCCTGCTCCCTCCCTCCTCCCTTCTTTCTCCCTTCTTGAAGTCCTAGGCCTTCTGTTAACATTTCCCTTCAGTTTGGCAAATTTACTGTAGCCTTTCTTCTGGGGTGGGTCTGCTGTTGACAAAGGACTTTGTTTTCCTTCATCTAAAAGATTTTCTATGTCCCTTTCATTCCTGACAGATGTTTTTGTGGGAGAAAAGACTTTGGGTTTACAGTTCTTTTAGTACAAGAAGAACATGTTACTTCCCTGTGTTCTCCGTGGTTTCAGATGAAAAACCTACTGTGCTGCATCCTTTCTGTCAAGTGCTTTTAAAGTGTTTTTGTCTATAGAATTCATCAGTTTGATTACAATGTGTCCTGGCATTGAATTTTTGGTTTTCCTGTTTAAATTTGTTCACCTTTTTAAATCTGAAGATACAGGTCCTTTGCCAAATTTGGGGATTTTCAACAATTATGTCTTCAAATAGCTTTTCAGCCCTGCTCTTTCCTTTCTTTCGGGGACTCAAATTAAATGAGTTCTCAGATTTTTTGTTTATCCAGTCTGTTTTCTCTCTTTTACTCAGATTGATCAATTTCCATTGATCTTTTTTTTTTTTTAAGATTTTATTTATTAGAGAGCACAAGCAGGGGGAGCAGGAGAGGGAGAAGCAGGCTCCCCATTGAGCAGGGAGCCCAAAGTGGGCCTTGATCCCAGAACCCCAGAATCATGACCTGGGCCACCCAGGCACCCCTCCCTTGATCTTTCTTTGAGCTCACTGATTCTCTTTTCTCTCATTTCCTCTCCTGCTGAGCTTATTCACCGAGTTTTCATTTTGGCTGCTGCTTTTTTTTTTTTTTTTTTAATTTTCTCCTTGTTTTTTTTTTTACATTTTCTATTTCCTTGCCTAGGTTATAACACCAAAGAAGGACTCTTAGAAAAACAGGCAAAACTATGTAGTCCAAAGTCAGGATTCTCTGGTGGTTTATCTTGATGCTGGAATAGAAATCCTAAAGTACCTGGAGAAATGGAACTTCTTTTGTCCACAAATATTTCTAAAACTGGGTCTTAAAACTGAAGGTGATCTGCAGATTACTCAGGGTTCTAGTCTTCAGGGGAGATTTGTGTGTAAAATTCCCCAGCTCTCTAAGCCTTGTTAGAGCCCCAGAGGAGAAGGGGTCACTTCAAGGATCACTCTTCCTCTTTGTGGCTGGACACATACCCCAATCTCTGATTTGTCTAGGACTTCTTTCCTGTATACCCCCCACTGCTTGGTCTTTAACTTCTCCCTCTTAGTCCCCTTCTACCTCAGTCTGTACCAGTGTTCAAGTCTCTAGTCTCACCCTCAGCACTTTCTGCCCCACATGCCCAGCGAGCTGTGCCCTTCTCTTTGCTCCCTTAGACACACCCTGTGTAACTGTTCTGTCCACTGTCTGCCCCCACCCCCTCGTGACCCTTCACCCCACTGACAACTAGTCAGTGGCCTCCACCACTGTCACCTGACTTAGGCAAGTCTCACAGAGTTCCCTCTTGTCCCCCCACCTTCTGCACTGCCCCTTCTCGACACACACAGTCTGTTACTGGACCTGTTTACTGCTGCCCACCTCTTTGACTTGAAGGTCCTTTCCTGGTTTCTGCGAGTTCCTGCCCTACTCCTTCAGAGGACCTGTGTCTTCTTCCATCTGTCAAACAGTGGTGCTTCCCAGAACCTGTCACCCTTGCTTTCTCACTTGAGAGGTGGTCCATGAGTGAGTTAATTCCCCCCTCAAGGTATTTTACGCTCAGTGATCTACAGAGTTCCCCAAATTCTTGTCTCCAGGTTGAATGTTTCTCTCTGGTCATCCTTCCACACCTTGTCAGTATTCATACATACTGAGCCTGTCTGCGTGTGTCATGTGGTCATGGCCATCACCATGAGGATGCACCCACGTAATCATGAGAGCAAGCAGACATGGTATGTTACCATGTTTCAGTCATTGTTTTGAATGTTTTACTTTATTTTT